TGTGTCACCCTGTCTTCCTGAGATACATAAGTATGGCACGATTGGTGAATATTGGTGAAATAGCAGAAAAAATATCGATGACACCCAGCCAGACAGCCAGACAGGGTGTCTAGCTAGTGGAAATGACTACACACCTGCATTTGACTGGTATTTTTAAAATGTAGATAATGCCAATTTATAAAATCAGTCCTTTTTAACAGCCAGACAGCCAGACAGGGTGTCTAGCTAGTGGAAATGACAACACACCTGCATTTGACTGGTATTTTTAAAATGTAGATAATGCCAATTTATAAAATCAGTCCTTTTTAAAGTTACTATATGTACCTTTTGGATGTTAGACAGGTAACAGTGCCAAAATAAACTTTTTTATAGAGTTAATAAAATTACCATTTTTTCAACTTGCCCAGAACCCCACCCCATTACAAAAAAGGCCCTTCGGCATTGATAGCTCTTCTTTCATTTACTAAACTCTGATGTACGCCACAAAGTAACAACACACCAAAATCTAATATAATGCAGTATGTATTATGAATGTCTATTTTTTAATGTAATTCCCCCAAGGGTGGGGCCAGACCCCACCATTTGTACAATTTTGAATCCTTGCCTCTAATGAATGCTTCTGACCAAATTTGATCGATATCCATGGCATAGTTCTACAGAAAAAGTTGTTTATAGCAATATAGCCAAATAACCCTTTTTGACCCCGCCCCTCAGCTCCCTGGGGGATCAGCCACACCATTTGTACAATTTTGAATCCCTGCCTCCCATGAATGCTTTTGATTACATATGATTGATATCCAGTGCATAGTTCTACAGAAGAAGTCATTTGTAGCAATATAGCCAATTTGTCCCCTTTTGACCCGCCACTCAGCCCCCTGGGGGGTCAGCCCAACCATTTGTACAATTTTGAATCTCCACCACCTAGGGATGCTTCCAGAGAAATATGGTTGATATCCATTTCTTAGTTCCAGAGGATAAGTCGCTTAAAGCAATATAGCCAAATTGCCCCCTTTTTGCCCCGCCCCTCAGCCCCCTGGGGGGGTCAGCCCAACCATTTGTACATTTTGAATCTCCACCACCTAGGGATGCTTCCAGAGAAATATGGTTGATATCCATTTCTTAGTTCCAGAGGATAAGTCGCTTAAAGCAATATTGCCAAATTGCCCCCTTTTTGCCCCGCTCCTCAGCCCCCTGGGGGGTCAGCCCCACCATTTGTACATTTTGAATCCCCACCACCTAGGGATGCTTCCAGTCAAATTTAGTTAAATTCTAATCAGTGGTTAAGAAGAAGAAGTCGTTTAAAGAAATTGTTGACGGACGGACGACGGACGGATGGACGACAGACACCACAGTATGGCATAAAAAGGACCACCTCTTTCAATTACAGCATTCTCAATTCCAAGATGGTCGCAATAAGTGAAATTCACTTTATTTGTACTCTAAGGAGCAGTATTTTAAAGATTTTCTGCACTTTCCTATATATAACCCCACCCTACCTCATTTCCTATTTTAGATAAAGCCATTCCACCATAAAAGGGTAGCATACCAAATTTGATTAAAATCCCTTTACTAGTATTTGTGGAATAGTCTTTTAAGGGTTTACCATCATTTCCCCTAATGAGTTTCCTCCCCAAGGAAGATCATACCGTTTGTTTATACAACATGTAATTCACTCATCTCAGGGAGAAGGTCATCATCATATTGAAGAAGGTATTGTCTGCAAGATTAACTCTTATTTCTTTTTTGGCCATGACATTCTGGCCCAACGAAGACCACACCCTAGATTTATAAAATGTTAAACTCCCTTTGCCCTGAGACGCTTAATGCCAACTTTAGTCAAAATCCTATAATAATAATAATAATGCCCTATATAATTTGTAAAATTACTCTAAAGCACTTAACAACATATGAATAATTCTATTAGTTATAATTGTGAAATAAAAATGGCTTACAATCACCATGAATAAATAAAGGGTGGTATGTCATGACGTCCTATAAGCTGTTTGGACTGAAAGTCAATACAATGTAAAGTTGATGACAAATGACAAACAACGCTACATGACATAAACCACTAGGTTCCCTAGGACGACAAAGAAAAAAGAAATGATACACTTAATCTCTAGGTTCCCTAGGACGAGTAAGAAAAAAGGAATGATGCACTGTCTTTCCAAATTAAACATGAAATGTGACAGAAGATTATCTATGTGCAAACCTTATATCACAACAAGATAAAACATGCTGATATTTACCATCCCACGTACACCTTGACTTAACTGGGAGCTTATCTGTGGGCTACAGAATGACATTTGCACTGAACACCAGAGGATGTAAGAAATCATTTGTATGGAATTCAAATGTATAAGATAATTCTTAATATATATATATGGCTTTTAACTTATGAACAAGATTGACATAAATGTGTTTCTAGTAAATATGATTTAATATTCCAGTACTACAGAATGTACAGTTGCAAATATGAGCCTTCATTCGGATCTACAATGAATGACATAAATGGAGAAATGCAGAGCTGTAAAAATCACAAGGTTAGATCTCTTAAAATATGAAAAGAAACAGAAAATTGTTACATAAATGCTTTAAATCATGTTGTGTCAATACTTCTATTTTTTCAAGAAATTAGTTTGTATATTTTGAGATACACAGATTGAAAGTATGCGCCTATGTAAAGATTGAGAGGCAAAGACCATAAAGGGGCATAACTCTGATTCTATAATATATGCAATATAACAGAAAGCAGTCATATATTTTCATATCATGTTGTGTCTATACACAAAGGTTAAAAGTTTATATGGTGTGAGACACATAGCTTGATAATATGTTTCTGTTGACGGAGGGAAAAGATAGAATATTGAGGCTTTCTGTGTGAACTTCACTGAAGAGTAATGAACATTGTTACCTGACTCGCTATATAAATGCATATTAATCAATTTCGACTTTTTCCCAGACAATTCACCAAACGAACTATAGCTAATGTGTGCTACCGTAAAACTGTTGACTGGTCACCGTAAAACTGTTGACTGGTCACGTGAAACTGTTGACTGGTCACGTGCAACTGTTGACTGGTCACATGTTAGGTAATCGAACGCACCTATAATTACAAGACTCCGATGATCAAGCGTTTTTGGTACTGGATTGTTGACGGTCGTCTGTCGGTAGATCTAACCATCACATTCGACATAGAACTTTTTGGTTTTTCATTGGTCAAGTAACAAAACAGTTGTTTCATGCCTTATCAGTCAACAGTCAAAACTATTTTCCCGAGGAGTTGGGACCCTCCAGATGAACTGTTTCCTGAGGCCTTTTGCAGCCTCGGGAAACAGTTCATCTGGAGGGTCCCAACTCCTCGGGAAAATAGTTTTGACTGTTGACTGATAAGGCATGAAACAACTGTATACTGTTGAATCCAGGTTGGATGTAACTAAGTAATGAAATTAAGGACAGCATGCGGAGGGAAACAATTTCATTGTGTTTTGAGTCATGGAAACAAGAAACAAAACTATTCAAGATAGCAAGAAACAAGAGAAATGATAGCAGTCTGTTAATCAATGAAAACCAAAATAAATGACATCAGGAGAAGCAAATTTGTACTACTCGAAGATCCAGAGGAGAAACAAAGACCAATTGTTGTTACATGCTGCACAATAAAGCAAATAAACAATTTCAGAAATATAAAACACCTGAACACAGAAGACAATTTTAACTCTGATCCTAAAATATACAAATGTTCCGGGATCCACATGCACATGTTTACATGAAATTGTATTGATAACCTATATTTATTTATGAATGGAGAAGTAAAACCATTGGACAACCATATCTTGAAAAGGGGATAGAAATCTCAAAAGGTTAGTCAAAATGAAAAATGTACATCATATATTGCATAATGCATTGCCTGAAAACATGCTTCTAGAGACAAAGCAAGGCACAAATTTGATAAAGGGACACAACTCCTGTTACATACTTTCTGGAAAGAAAATGTGTTGCACCCGTATTAAGTTTACAAACTATTTTTGATGCACAAAATGTAAGTTAAATTAAATGTATTCATAAATGGAGCAATGCATAACTTGGAAAATTTATGAATATATAAAAGTCAATAACAAACAAAGGAGTTAAACTAGGTTTATAACACTTATGTATGCAAGAATGTTTGGCAACATAAGGGTATATGTACTCCCATTCACTGCACATAGCCTAACCTAGACTTTCTACGTCTTAGAATGGTACAGGCCAAGCCATCAGCTGTCATGCATTATTAATGATAACCTTATATGGCAAATGATATCAACACTATACGGCTGTATGAACTGTCTGTGTGAATGAACCTGTGGGTTATGTTTTAATTTCTTTTGAGCTAGACTAGAGCTTTTGCTGAAGGTCAATTCTAGTTCCTGTCACGTTTACAAGTTTTCTTGGTGCCAGAAAGCAGCTGGGATGTTAAACAACCCCTACAAATATGTGCTACAGCTCTCCCTATGAATGGGTGCAGGAGTTGGGTTCATCACAACAAAGTCAAATGGGGCAATCATCTGCTATGTTCATTAATTAGAAAGCATCAAAAGTGTGAAGGTGGCTTAAATTGGTGAAAATGGCGAGTACACCTGTACCGCTTAACTAGAATCTGTGAAACTAACATTATAGTCAGTGTATAAAATCCTTGATTTTTTAAAAGTCATGTGATTAGATGTATTACTTGTTGCTTAACCCTTTCACCCCTATGCAACTTTAGTAGACTCTCCCCATTCATTGATCTGAATGAGTCTATTACTATCTACAGTGATGAAAGGGTTAAAAGTGTTGCTGTATGATGTAGCATATTGGTCAGTTGGATATATAAGATTATGCAATTAGACAGGATTTCTGCATGGCTGGGTAAAACACTAAACCACTGATGTATTAGCCATAGCTGTAGATATGAGAAGGAAAACCACTATGTATTGGAAATGAAAACCTCATGAGACTACAGGTATTGAGTTACTTACCCTTCCGGGGGCTCTGGTTTCTTCACAGTAATCCCCTAAAATTGAAGAAAAAAATATACAACTGGTATGTCCTCCCAAAATAAATCAGGGTTATGTCATAGAAATAGTTCAACTTGTTTGATTAAAGCCTGGTTTTTAGATTTGTGCTAGGTTGATATATGTATATATGTATATCAGTTTGAAAATTTTGAGCACACTAGCCTATGGACAGTCCATTAGCAGGTCCAGGTGAATATCGAAAGGTGGATCAATCACAACCTTGCACATACTTGTAATAACAAAAAGAAACTGCCACCATAAGGTTATTAGCAGATAAGGTTGGTCTGGATTAGTTTTACTGTATGTAAAAGTGGAAAATATAGGTCACAGTGACCTACTTAAGATGTATAGCTATATTACTTGAGATTTGTCCACATTTGAAGTTTGATGAATTTAACACATCTCGTATTAGAGTAATGGAGTCAAACGCAAATTGTAACGAAAGTCAGTGAAGCTGAGAACAAAGGTCACAGTGACCAACATTTGGTATACAGTGTACTGCCATATTACCCCTCAATGTCTAGTCCAGGAATGAAGTTTGATGAATTTTGGATTTCTAGTATTAAACAAATGGAGCTAAATTCAAAGTCTTTATGTTGTAGGGGCATATTTTCTCTTTAGTACAGTGGTAACATTTGCTATTTTCTTCAGTTATAAACTTGTATTGGATTGTATAGGATGTATACTAAGCAAAATACTTGACTATAAACTTCCAACAGTCTTTTAGTGGTGAACTCTGTTATCAAATATATTTTAGAACAGATCTTAATAAATACTGATCATCAGAAAAGGGTATTAGGAATAAACTAGAAAGAGAAAATCTTTACCATTTTAGTAAGCTGTTCTATCAAATAGGCATCATCCTCATTCTCACTGTCCGAGGATACAGGTTTTTCCTGATTATTCCTCCTTTCCTCCTTCTTTCTTTCCTCTTCCTGTCTTTTCCTTTCTCTTCCCTGTCGCCTGACTCTCTCCAATCTTTCTCGGTGAATTACATGTGCGCTAACTCCATCAGCCTGTAACTCACACAGTTCAGTATATAAATAAGAGGTCCATTGGGCCTTTCTTAATCGAAACGCTGTTTAAAGAAAATAGTTGCCATCAACAGATGGACCAACAACAAACAATGGACACTGTGTCATGGCCTAATTATAAGCCATCCTCATTTCTCCAGGTGTATGCTCACTTACCCCGGGAATAGTCATAGTAACATCGTAGGCTCAGCGTGTGCCACCTTGTCGGTGAGACAAGACGACTAGTTTGATCCTTTATTGTACATCAAAAGAACCTTGTGGTGCATAACAGTTAAACTGACTGGCTTTGATGTGGGCCGGTATTGCTCCTCTGTAATCTTCGAAAGACAGGTATATAAAAATTGAAATTGTCTCTAATTGGTGCATATAATCAATTTATCTTGCACCATTTGAACCAAAGATATTTCTGATTGCTTATCAGTTACTGGGAGACTTCCCTATTAGAGTAAACTAGAACACTGACAGGTCAGTAAGGGCCCGGCCTTGTGGCAATATATCCCCCATAATCATCAAGAAGTAATCTGCCCTTATAGCTGAGCTTGACTTTTGCTATTTGGACCTTAAAAAAGAATCGCAAGGAAGCAAAATATACATTTTACATGTACTATGATGTGAGTCTTGTTTCCTTCCACCTCCATATTTACTGGGCTAACAGAAATGTAAATACCGGTGCAATACTCATTTGTTAGCTTTGATTTGTTTTATTTAACCTTATATACCTCCTCAATCAAGAGCCAGGGTCAAAGTCAGAGATCCACTTAGTCTTTGACCTTTGGACCCAAATGACCTTGACCATTAACCCAGCGAGCCTGATCTTTGGTCAGTTGACTTATTCTTTAATTCCGACCAACTTTGCTAAATAATATCATAACAAAATATTCATCAGTGAAAAATACAAAACTTGACCTTGACCCTGTAACCTGGACCTAAGGTCAGTTGACTCTGTGTTAAGTTCTGAACAACATTGCTTCATAATGTCATAACAAAATGTTCATCTGGGAAAAGGTACAACATTTAACCTTCACCTTTGACCCGATGACCTTGACCTTTGGTCAGTTGACTCTTTGTTTAATTCTGATCTACTTTGCTTCATCATGTCTTAACAAAATTTTCATCAGTGAAAAGATGAAAAATTTGACCTTGACCTTTCAATCTAATGACCTTGATCTTTGACCTTGACTTTTTACCTCAGTGTGTCTCTTTGTTTAATTCCGAACAACTCTGCTCCATAATGTCATAGCGAAATGTTCACCAGTGAAAAGCTACAAAATTTGACCTTGACCCCTGACCCGATGACCTTGACCTTTGGTCAGTAGACTCCTTGTTTAGTTTTGATCAACTTTGCTTCATAATGTCATAACAAAATGTTCATCAGTGAAAAGATGTAAGATTTGACCTTGACCTTTGAACCTAATGACCTTGACCTTTGACCTCGACTTTTTACCTCAATGTGTATTTTTGTGAACTGAACATCTTGACCAAGTTTCATGTACATTGGTCAATAAATACTAAAGTTATCAGCCAGAAACAAAATTTGAGGACGGACGGACAGACAGACAGACAGGCAGACAGAGTGATTACTATAGGGCACCTGTATCTCCGATACGGGGCCCTAGTTATACAATAGAGACTTCTGTTATTAAACATCAACTTCATTTATATTTTAAACATTTTTAACGAACAGAGGGCATAAGAAATCTGTCTGCTCCACTATGCAAACTTAATAAATACATTTAAATTTCAAAATTCTATTTTGAACTGGGCGACTAGATCAGGCTTACAGGTTGTGTTTGGACTTCCGACTCTTCAATTCCTTTGTCATCCATTCTCAGGCCTGCAGTAGGTTAAAATGTATTTCCAAGTTTAAGTTTTATAGTATCCCCGACAGATCACTTGTTAAGCTTCCTGAAAAGAAAAAGAAAATATCAAATTATGTTTTTGATATGCTTTTGTAATACAATAATATTTAAGATCTTTTAAATGCAAGTGGGTTTTTGTAACAATTTTATTTTCATGCCATATAGAGTTTCATACTAGGTAGTTTCACCCAGATTGTTTTGTAATATGGAAAATAATAAAAAAAAAAACTGTTTTATACAATCCTTCATTTCTTGGGATTACTAATTTTTTTATTTTAGTAGCAACTCTTATCTGTTTAATGGGATTCATTGAATTTTTCAATTTATATAGCTGGGTTTTTGTGTAATTTAAAACTTGTGCCAACACATAATTATTATGCATCAGTATGTTTATTTCACATCTATATAAGCTCAAGTTTATTTGATTTTACCATGTATGGTTGACAAACCTGGGTGTGACAGTGTTGTGTGTCATGAATTTTGAATGAAACTACCCCGGTACCGGAATCATTCCGGTACCGGGGTAGTTTCATAAAAAATTCATGACATTCCGTATGCATCAGCATGAATCAAACACATGTGGGCAAGGGGAATCAAACACTTGAATTCAGACAGGTTTAGTTCACAAAGTGACTATATCAATATTGAAATATTTCTAAATTACAATATTTCAATCATTTTTAAATGGTGAATCTTGAGGTCATACCCTCAAAATCAACCCAGTTGCAATGTTTTTTTGGAGTGTATGTAAGTGATGGAGGGGTGGGGGTCACTATATTGAGGGTCCAGCAGTAAGTGATGGAGGGCTGGGGGTCACTATATTGAGGGTCCAGCAGTAAGTGATGGAGGGGTGGGGGTCACTAAATTGAGGGTCCAGCAGTAAGTGATGGAGGGGTGGGGGTCACTATATTGAGGGTCCAGCAGTAAGTGATGGAGGGGTGGGGGTCACTATATTGAGGGTCCAGCAGTAAGTGATGGAGGGGTGGGGGTCACTATATTGAGGGTCCAGCAGTAAGTGATGGAGGGGTGGGGGTCACTATATTGAGGGTCCAGCAGTAAGTGATGGAGGGGTGGGGGTCACTATATTGAGGGTCCAGCAGTAAGTGATGGAGGGGTGGGGGTCACTATATTGAGGGTCCAGCAGTAAGTGATGGAGGGGTGGGGGTCACTATATTGAGGGTCCAGCAGTAAGTGATGGAGGGGTGGGGGTCACTATATTGAGGGTCCAGCAGTAAGTGATGGAGGGGTGGGGGTCACTATATTGAGGGTCCAGCAGTAAGTGATGGAGGGGTGGGGGTCACTATATTGAGGGTCCAGCAGTAAGTGATGGAGGGGTGGGGGTCACTATATTGAGGGTCCAGCAGTAAGTGATGGAGGGGTGGGGGTCACTATATTGAGGGTCCAGCAGTAAGTGATGGAGGGGTGGGGGTCACTATATTGAGGGTCCAGCAGTAAGTGATGGAGGGGTGGGGGTCACTATATTGAGGGTCCAGCAGTAAGTGATGGAGGGGTGGGGGTCACTATATTGAGGGTCCAGCAGTAAGTGATGGAGGGGTGGGGGTCACTATATTGAGGGTCCAGCAGTAAGTGATGGAGGGGTGGGGGTCACTATATTGAGGGTCCAGCAGTAAGTGATGGAGGGGTGGGGGTCACTATATTGAGGGTCCAGCAGTAAGTGATGGAGGGGTGGGGGTCACTATATTGAGGGTCCAGCAGTAAGTGATGGAGGGGTGGGGGTCACTATATTGAGGGTCCAGCAGTAAGTGATGGAGGGGTGGGGGTCACTATATTGAGGGTCCAGCAGTAAGTGATGGAGGGGTGGGGGTCACTATATTGAGGGTCCAGCAGTAAGTGATGGAGGGGTGGGGGTCACTATATTGAGGGTCCAGCAGTAAGTGATGGAGGGGTGGGGGTCACTATATTGAGGGTCCAGCAGTAAGTGATGGAGGGGTGGGGGTCACTATATTGAGGGTCCAGCAGTAAGTGATGGAGGGGTGGGGGTCACTATATTGAGGGTCCAGCAGTAAGTGATGGAGGGGTGGGGGTCACTATATTGAGGGTCCAGCAGTAAGTGATGGAGGGGTGGGGGTCACTATATTGAGGGTCCAGCAGTAAGTGATGGAGGGGTGGGGGTCACTATATTGAGGGTCCAGCAGTAAGTGATGGAGGGGTGGGGGTCACTATATTGAGGGTCCAGCAGTAAGTGATGGAGGGGTGGGGGTCACTATATTGAGGGTCCAGCAGTAAGTGATGGAGGGGTGGGGGTCACTATATTGAGGGTCCAGCAGTAAGTGATGGAGGGGTGGGGGTCACTATATTGAGGGTCCAGCAGTAAGTGATGGAGGGGTGGGGGTCACTATATTGAGGGTCCAGCAGTAAGTGATGGAGGGGTGGGGGTCACTATATTGAGGGTCCAGCAGTAAGTGATGGAGGGGTGGGGGTCACTATATTGAGGGTCCAGCAGTAAGTGATGGAGGGGTGGGGGTCACTATATTGAGGGTCCAGCAGTAAGTGATGGAGGGGTGGGGGTCACTATATTGAGGGTCCAGCAGTAAGTGATGGAGGGGTGGGGGTCACTATATTGAGGGTCCAGCAGTAAGTGATGGAGGGGTGGGGGTCACTATATTGAGGGTCCAGCAGTAAGTGATGGAGGGGTGGGGGTCACTATATTGAGGGTCCAGCAGTAAGTGATGGAGGGGTGGGGGTCACTATATTGAGGGTCCAGCAGTAAGTGATGGAGGGGTGGGGGTCACTATATTGAGGGTCCAGCAGTAAGTGATGGAGGGGTTGGGGTCACTATATTGAGGGTCCAGCAGTAAGTGATGGAGGGGTTGGGGTCACTATATTGAGGGTCCAGCAGTAAGTGATGGAGGGGTGGGGGTCACTATATTGAGGGTCCAGCAGTAAGTGATGGAGGGGTGGGGGTCACTATATTGAGGGTCCAGCAGTAAGTGATGGAGGGGTGGGGGTCACTATATTGAGGGTCCAGCAGTAAGTGATGGAGGGGTGGGGGTCACTATATTGAGGGTCCAGCAGTAAGTGATGGAGGGGTGGGGGTCACTATATTGAGGGTCCAGCAGTAAGTGATGGAGGGGTGGGGGTCACTATATTGAGGGTCCAGCAGTAAGTGATGGAGGGGATGGGGTCACTATATTGAGGGTCCAGCAGTAAGTGATGGAGGGGATGGGGTCACTATATTGAGGGTCCAGCAGTAAGTGATGGAGGGGTGGGGGTCACTATATTGAGGGTCCAGCAGTAAGTGATGGAGGGGTGGGGGTCACTATATTGAGGGTCCAGCAGAGGGATAAGTGTCCAGTACCTAGCTACTAGCCTATTTAAAACAGAAGTAGAACGAAGCAAATAATATCATTCATCAAATTACTGTGCACACAACTCCTGGCTAAGCACTCATTCCTCCATTGGAAAAAAACATGCATTATTAGTTACGTAAACTTCAATTTATACTGTATAAAATCCTATAACATATTGCTGATGGATGGGTGCAGAGAAACCTTGCTAGGCACTCACTCTCTGCTGGGCGCTCATTAGACTGTAGAGTTGTGTTCACTGATGATGAGTGTAGACCACAAGCTTATTTTTTTCAATTTCAAAAGTATTTTATTGACCATCCATATATTATACAAACATATAAGTTAACATTAAAGAAGATATTAGAACAGTATTGACAAAAGAATTAGACAACAGGTTTTGCCTATATCAGTCTTCTTCTATTTCCGGTAGCTATGTACAATGCTTAAATATATAAAATGTTGTAATTTGTTTTCCTCTCACACACATGCACACCCACACCCACACCAGCTTATGTCTTATACTCGTTGATTAAGGGACAAAACTTGCCTGAATAACAATAATAATAACAATACATGAATATTCATTTGGAATTTATCTAGCACGTATAAGTAACGAAACTTTTTGATGATTTAATATAAGAGTCAACATGTATAAGAATAGTTTTATTTAATTGGTCCGATGCATTACTAATACCATATACTAAACAGTGCAGATTTAAATATCCTAATAGATTATAAATAGTGGTACAATATGATGCCTAATATTTGAAAACAGAGGACATTGAAAGAAAAAATGTATTAGATCTTCCCTCTGTACACCACATACACAGGAAGCATCATCAATCAGATGGTCTTGTAACTTATCAAAGTTAAGATCACTTTTAAAATTTCTTAGCTGACATAAAATGATGTTAAGTTTCCTCGGAACACAGTTAATAAAAGTTTCTGAGACAGATGTATCANTTGTGTTTCAGTATACAGAATATGATGAGATGTACCTCGTCTGAGGCCAGTAATTAAACGCATAGCTTCTAGTTGAACTGATTCTAAAAGATCTGATTCCGATTTGGTACAATTATCCCATACTATATCAGAATATTCTAGCACAGGTCTTATATAAGAGACATATAATGTTTTTAATGTATTCCTATCAACTGTAGTTTTTAAAATTCTAAGAATACTTAGTCTAGAGTTCGCTTTCTTATAAATATTTGAAATGTGATCTGACCATGTCCCTTTACTGTTAAATGTTAGTCCTAAGTGAGTATGGTGTTCATGTTGTGCAATTGGAGTATTGTTAAATAGCAGTTGAGGATGATTGTTAATGTGTCTACGAGAGAAGTTAATAGCTACAGTCTTATTCGGATTGAATAGGATCTGCCATCGCTTTGACCATTCAGAGATTGAGTCAAGATCATCATTAAGTATGTTAGTAGGTGTTGTAAGGTCATTGTTATTATTTACTATTACATAGAGAGAGGTATCATCTGCAAAGAGTTTTATATGAGAAGTTACATTATTAGTAATATCATTAATAAAAAGAAGAAAGAGGAAGGGACCAAGGACAGATCCTTGAGGAACCCCTGCAGACATAGGTTTGGTACTAGATTTATAACCTTCAAAGATAACCCTTTGTTTTCTGTCAGATAAGTAAGCTTTAAACCAATTATATAATTTACCTTTAATACCATATGTTTTTAGTTTATATAATAGGCCCAAATGCCATACTCGATCAAATGCTTTACTTATGTCACAGAAAACAAAACGCAAATCTTTACCTTGGTCTAAATTGCCACTTATAGTATTATAGATATCAGCTAGTTGATTAGTAGTGGAGTCTTTGGGTTGAAATCCTGACTGATGTACACTTAACATATTGTGACTTGAAATATAATTAAACGTATATTTAAAAATATTTTTTTCTAACATTTTGATAAAAATAGATGTAATAGCAATAGGTCTATAATTATTGAGATCACTGATATCTCCTTTACCTTTATAGAGAGCAGTAACATTAGCCGTTTTTAGTACATCAGGTATTACTCCAATAGATAAAGTTCTATTAAATAATAGTTTGAGTGGGTATACTAAAGAAGAAGAAATATTCTTTACAATCATAGGTAAAATACCATCAGGACCAGCTGGTTTGTTTTTATTAAAAATGTCCAATTGGTCAGTTATATCTTGTTCAGTTATGTTAATGTTAGAAAGTTCAAATGGACATAAGGGAGGTAAATCAGGTAAGCTAGTGTCAGTAATATCAGAGGCAATGGTGGTAAAGAAGTTATTTAGTGCTTCAGCTTTATCTTGTGGATGGATTAATATTTTATTGTTAGATTTTAGAGGATAAGAATTAGTGCTAGTGTTATTCATTGTTCATATAGATTTTGCTATCTGCCACCATTTTCTTGGATGCACTGTTTTGTCAGCAAGACAATTTTGAATTTTCTTGAAGTAATTTTCTTTGGATTGCCGAATAATTTGTATAGTGTCATTTTAACAAGTTCTAAATTTTGCCCAATCTTGTTCCCTATTTTTATTTTTAGCTATTCTATGTAATCTTTTCTTATATCTTAATTTATGCTGAATTTCACCAGTCATCCAAGGTTTATCATCAGGATGGACAGTAATTGTTTTATGAAGTATATGGGAGTTAGTAGCAGAGTTTATTTTGTTTATAACAGTAGAATATATTTCATCAATACTAGTAGTGCTATTAACTATGGAATCCCAATCATTACTAAGAAGCTCATTATTAATAGCATCCCAATTAGCTTCATTGAACTTATATATAGGTTTCTTGAATGGTTTATGATCACTACAGAGAGGGGAAAGTACTTGTGTCATGGTAAAAATGATAACATTATTAGTAATAAATACATCAATTAAGGTAGCAGTAGTGTTTGTAATGGGTGTTGGTGATTGTATTAAGTTTTTCAAGTGATATTTAGTAATTAATCTTGCAAGATGTGAATTAGGTTTCATTGTGATAAAGTCAACATTTATGTCACCAGTGACAATGATATTAAGATTAGTATTAGAAAGATTATCCAAAATGTTATCAAGTTTATTCCAGTAATCTATTTTTGTATTAGGAGGTCTATAAAAACAGGAGAGAAGTATTTTTTTGTTAGAAGTGTTTATTTCTAGGATGACAAGTTCTATGTCTTCAGTTTCAAGATCAGTTCTGTGATTTATTAAGAGGTTGTTTTTAGTATATATCATAATACCACCACCGTGTTGTGATTGTCTGTCTCTACGATATGAGTTGGGATGTGAGTTAATTTGCAAATCAGATTCAGTTATTTCATTATTCAGGTGAGTTTCAGTAAGACATAGGATGTCATATGGTCAGTGAATTCAGTATCTATAAGATCAACCTTGTTCCGAAGAGATCTAACATTTAAGTGCATTATTGATAAATCATTATAGTAGTTTCTTTGATTAATACTGATTGATGAGGGACCTGGATTAGAGTGAATATTTCCAGACATCAGTAGTAGAAGTTTTATAACAAACAGGCTGTATATAATATCTTTAGTATACATGTAGTGATATCATATTGGTATTACAGGCAGTAATAGAGGAAGATCTATAACATAGCTTACAATCACACACAAACAAGCTTATGTTCATTCTTATAACGAAGACATAAACCTATGGTTTCATTTTTTTCAAACAACTGGGCCGGTTGGAGTACAGACATGTATTATTATTTGCATGTTCGTTAGGCTTCATCCCTAAAAGATCTCACTTAAAAACAAAACCATTTGCCAGCATAAATAAACATGCCCAGATAAATGACGGGAGGCTGGATGGTGTACGTGACAACAATAATATTACCATATCTCGGTAAGTACTCTGTACTGCATGTAGGTTTCATCACATGCGCTTACTTATAATGCATCATTACTTTATGTATAAGTAAATATTTATGCAAAGATATATTATTTGACTGCATGATGCTCGTCATTTGATTAAATATAGAGACATGTGACGAGTGACATGCTTAACATACCGATGTTGATCCACTTTCTGCAGTCATGTGTACATTACTTCAACTTCTGAAATAGATCACGACCCGGAAGTAGTTCATTTTTAGTAACATACGTACTAAATACCGCCTGGATAAGCCGTAGACCACGGGAGTGGCACGGTAGTGCCTAAGACCGCCTTCGCTTATCGCGGTCCACACCTTTTGATTGGCTGAACCAGAGTGACTTTGTGATGCTTTCTGGCGAGCCTTGGCAAAGACTTGCAAGGCCCGTGTTAAATTTGCAGGTCAACCAGGCTTTATCCCTGTTATATTTTAAAAAACTGAAGGACCGTAAATGCCAAGTTTGTTTTGAACACTGAACGGGAATTGAAAACTTATTCACTAGTTTAGATACATTTAATTAAATACCTTTATTCATGAATTACCCATAGTTTTTATATGATTTAGATACAGTATCTTAATCTATAAAAGTTTCAAAACCTGTCAAACAGGCTGACTTCAACTATCCATAATATGTACTATTTTTATTCATATCATGTTTATTGTTCGTCTTATTTCGCTATCTTTTAGAACATCGATCTGGTCCGATGTCTGTGAAACTTCAAATGGATTCGGAGTAGAATTGTAAAATCGTCCTATTAAAACCTCTCAGTGTTTGTATACTTCCGTAATGTCAATATTTTTACAGAATCTGAAATCAAATATGGCCACCAAGCCTTTTGTTTGGTTCAAACATTTGGGTCACTATATAATAAGCATAATCGGATTCGAATTCCATCTTTTGCGACACATTATTTTGCGAATGTTTTAGGACATTATATATAATAAGTAGTCCAGCTTTAGATTTAGATAGAAATTGTTCACGATATGGACCAGAAGTAGCTTTTTAAACAATTCAAATAAAACTTAATTTGAAGTATTACCAAAGACGTTTATATTACAATATACAGTCAAACCTGTATTTAAGAGGCCACCCAAGGAACCGGCAGAAATTGGCCGCTTAGTACAGGTGGCTGCAAAAACCAGGCTCACCCGAAAATCACAACCAAGTTTTCATACATCCACGAGTTATAAAGACATTTTCCCGGCAATATAGGCTGCTATGTTATTTTGATTTTTTCTCCCTTCATCAAGAGGGTACGATTTCAAACTTGAATATAAATGCATAATCAATAAAATACAAAGGCGTTTTGGTGATTAATTTCTTGAAATGATGAATTTATTTTTGTTTGGCTACACACGTGATCCACATACGTTTTACGCTAGCAGACAACTACCAGTACTGAAATCTACATGTAGATCTAGTTTTAATGAAAATCTGCATTGCGATGTATTCTGATCTATGTGGTTCAAATATTTTTCTAATGAAATGATATATCAGTATTTTAGTTAATTCATCACTTATAAATAAATTACTCAATAAACCTAGAACTTTGCAAAAATCTTTGAGCTTTCAACTTAGCGTAACGGTTTATTCACAGCACCCATGCGCCGTATGGAAAGTTAACACTAATGTCCTGATCTCGCACAGCTAAATATATAATTTACAAAGCAAATAAATATAAATTATATAAATAAATCACGACATAGTAATGTATACGTATCTGGTATTTATAGTAAGTCCGTGCTATTATGAAAACAGAATTAACAAAAGGTAAAAGTGTAAATTATTGGTGGTTTATATTACTTATTTAGATCAGCTGAAGTCCATTTAAACTTTGATCCCTCACAAAGAAAGGAAACGGCCTGTAGTTAAGCTAGGACCATTCATCTTGGTGTGGACATCGATCAGTCACACTAAGGTGATGTGCACTGTAATATATATACATGAACTGTAAGGAAGGAATCATTCTTTCCTCGGACTATCAGAGATTGGAACAAACTCCCTTCTCAAATTATGTCTTCTGATTCTGCTCATAAATATTAAGTTCTGTTTGATCTTCACTATGCCCACGAATCTAATATAATTCCGTGCTATGCCGAAGTAGGTCATCAAATGGTAGAAGTACTCATGGTATGCAGCCCCTTAATAATAGAGTTATTCACAAAATGTGATATCATTAAATCGATTTTATGATATCATAAATTCATTTTATGATATCAGTAATTCGATTTTATGATATCATAAAATAGACGCATTAAATGATATCATAAAATAGACGCATTAAATGATATCATAAAATCGAATTTTAGGATATCATTAAATGCATTTATGATATCATAAAATGGAATTTATGATATCATAAAATCGATTAAATGGTATCACGAACTTCGAATTCATGATATCATAAAATAGCCTGATTTAATGATATCATGAATTCGAATTAATGATATCATGAAATAAGCCTTGAGAAACTGTTAGCACGAAATAATGAGTTCTCCCCATCTCAGTTTTAGCGAATGAGCACACTTTCAATACCTTTCACTTCCTAAATGTGATATCATTTAATCGATTTAATGATATCATTAATTATTTTGTGATATCATAAAATCTAATTTATGATATCATCAATTTAAATTGGCGCGAATGGCAATCCAAACAGAGTTACCGTTCTTTAATTCCACATCCGCTTTCTGAGGGAACACTCATAAGAAAAATATATTTTATGATATCACAAATTCGAATTAACGATATCATTAAATCGGGTTATTTTATGATATCATTTAATCAAATTAATGATATCATACATTGGAATTATGATATCATAAAATAGCCCGATTTAATGATATCATAAAATAGCCCAATTTAATGATATCATAAAATGGAATTTGTGATATCATAAATTCATTTTGTGATAATACAAATTCGATTTTATGATATCACAAAATAATTAATGATATCACATTTTGTGAATAAATACCAAAACGGCGCCCCATAGTTATTGCCCTTTGCTAAAATATCGGACATATATACATGAATGTATGTTAAAACATTATTTTTCTTCTTCCAAACTCCCCGTATCAACATATTTTTAGTTTTTTTTTACCAATATGTGTCATAAATCTAACCAAATGCAAAATTCACAAACAGGAGAAGCCTCCAATAAAGTTGTTTTCGGGGAGCATAAGTCAGTTCCACCACGGAATTAAAATATCTAAGTCCGTGGTTCCACTGATACTCTTGTTAGTTTGCGTTAATTCTTTATAAAACAATGTTAACCCAGTTGAAGATTTTAAGATACGTTATATAATTCATTGGACGCGTGAAAGAAAGGCCTAGTTCAGTTCAAGTGCATTCGTTTATCATAGAATATTTCTGCGCCATCTAAACCGTTTCAACCAGGATGCGCGAATGCGACCATAGGGTATTCCCCTTATGACGCATAATTATAATAAAGCGCTAAAATGATTCCTGTCACAATTCTTAGTCCTGTTTATGTTTTACGCATAGTCAACTCAGTTTGGTTACCACCTTTAGCTCAACTATGCCCTATGTTTACTACGTGGAATTAACGACCGTTCCATCAGGTTAACATAACATTCGGGGAATTTCCAACTACATTTAGGGCTACGCATCAAATCACAGACATGGAAATTGTAAAGTCCAGAGGCTTTTTTCAGCTGAAAAGGAAGTCATAGAATTTAAATTTCATATTGTAGAAATGGTTTATGGATAAAAAAAGTGAAATATTCTGTCTGTCATCTTAAACGTTTCCTGTAAAGTTTTTTACTTTCGGTTTGTGGGGAACACTTTTGGAGCCTGCAATTTATCTGTTTGGTAAGCAGACACATCATTTATCAAACCTTATAATTCTTCTTGATACTTGTCATGTTGTCTTTTAATCAAACATATTTCCAGTAAGATTAAACATAAAAACCAATAGACATTATATATATCATATGGACTAGGACATCCTGCACGGTTACATGTTTGGTACATCTATATATTTTTGTCATTTGAGTGTCTTAGTGCTGACCTTTAGTACTGAAAGTAGACAACATTTGGTATCATAGTGTGTTTTTTCATTAAGGGCGCAAATATTACGTATTTGTTTTGGCGAGGTAAGCAATGAAGGACATAACAAATTGTTACCCACTCTCCCAAAAAAAATCCCTCATCAAGTCTCTAAAATTAGAAATATTATATGTATAAAACACTCTATGCCCAGGCTATTGTAGTTGGTGTGAATGTTTGAAATAAACAGGCATTCATATTTAATTTGTTTTATGATTTTTTATACAGTCCATTTAATACACAACTTAATCAACAGTCCCCAAATCAGTCAACATGTATGTGCCATAGCAACTACTGTAGTAATGGATGAACATCTATTAAATAATCAACAGTGTTTGTTTGAATGCCACCCCCTTGTCAAATTAATTTCAGAGGGCACATACTCATATCTAAGTTGGTGCAAGGGATGTGTGTTTATATAATGCCAACATTACAGGAGGTTACATTTGTCAGACCCTGTAGCTCTTAAAGCAGTAAATATACAATTAAGGTGGTAACATCTCATATGTGTTCTTTTCAGTGGTCAGGATAAAACATAAGAAAAGATGTGGTCTTGCATGCAGCCCAAGTGATGTTAAACCTCCCTGAAATTAACTACAATATCATAAATTATTCTGTTGTAAGATTTATTTTTTATAAAACATCAAGTATATACGTTACAATAACAATTGTATTATATTACCTGCTTTGAGTCAGCTCTGAGCAGGCAATATTTTACTTATGTGAATACAGTATATACTCTGATTTGCTGTAGCCTCGGGCTGTATCTTACATTATTTATCAATACATTGTACTGTTAAAAAATAGAACTGAGAAAAGTAAAACTTATTCAACCAGACCTGTTGAATGATATCTAGATGGTAAATAATATTGCACTACATAATCAGTACTTATAAATTGATCAGGGGACCGTCTGACATTTCTGTCATGGGGTAAAAATGTCATACATTTTGTATAACAAATAAGTATTGTTATCAACAGCGATGATTTTTTTTCTTTTTTTAATATGTATAAAAAATCTTTTTGTCACTAAATTATTGTCTGCGGGATGACAGAACTTGATACTGAAGCGGATGTAAAACCACTCAAACAAATAAGTCACTGGAAATCAGTCTATTGATATGACACCTAAACTTGGGTTAACCAGACTAAAGGCATCTGGGCTTTAAATGAACATTGACAACAATATTTGTAACTTTTACTTGCTCAGCCTTTTATCCTATCATGGCCCTTTCTCAAGGAAACTGCTCTCTGATGGTAATGACTGGGAAGAAATAGTGTTTAAGCCATCTTCCCTGGTCAACATGAATAGAGTAACTGTTTCCTATGGAATAATAATATCATACTTTTTATTAGTTTTCACTGATATCATTGATTATCATTTTCAGGTACAAGGAATTAGCAAACCAGGATGCGAGTAAAATGAAAACATAATGTCAGCATTATTTACAACAAATGGCCTCCCCTTGGTCAATGGGGAAAGTCAGAAAGTGGAACTTCGTCAGTCACCAGGAAGTATTAATGGGACGTCATTTGATGTGATAACTCCACCTGGTTCTGGGCAGAGAACTCCAGCAGATTTAAGTTATGTTAATCCAATGGGAATGGGGCAGATATCTATGACGGATGTAACACTGGAACAGGCCCTGGACCGAGTCCATGAGCTGATGAAGGAGAACAAGGATTTAAGAGGTAGGTTTGTGATGAACAATGATATATATAGTTGACTGAAATCAACTTTACTGGATATTAATTCTATAGAAATTCTTTCTATTTTGAATAAATACATTTATTTCTTGGTTCTGTTGCCTATGATCGTGATGACAAAATGAGTTTATTCTTTAAATACTGTTTTCACAATGTGTGCTGTAAAATATGTAATTAACAATTTTTTGTTTCGAAAATGTTCAATTTGGGACATGTATACATACAGTAAATTATCATATTGGTGAAACATTTATGTACACAGGTATATATATTTCTGTTCCATAATTATATTTTATATATATTAACTTGCTTGTACCTTACTATAAAGTCATAGAAAATATTCGACTTGCAATTGGCATCAATAGTTTAAGATGACATCCATGTGTGTTAAATGAAGTGTGTGTCCTTGTAGAATATATGAAGGAGAACAATGAGCTAATGAGACAGCAGTACAAAGCTCTGTCTGAGTACAAGTCCAAGGTCCAGGAGAGTAACTCACAAACCAAGGAGAAGTTTGAGCAGACACGCAATGTCATTCTGCTGCTAAAAGATGAAAATGCAAAACTGAAATCATCCCTACAGTCTCAGTCTGATGAGGCGAGCCGCACACTGGTAATTAAAGTGACATTAGATAAATATTTATGAACTTTGCTTATCCTAGTTCTGAAAATCTTGGGTATTTAAATTTTTAATGTTTCAAGATGATTACCTCATACTTCCCTTCCTGTCTCAAAGTTGGTCCATTCAAAGATATGGAAAATTTGCAAATCTCAAACATTTTTCAGAAACAGGAACTGAAATATCCAAAATTAACAAGATCCCAACAGTGCTTGTGTTTTACTAGAACAATAAAATTACACACTATTTAGCAATCAAAGTTAAAAGGCATTATTTATGTATGTGGTCCAGATGATATGATTTTCTCCCATTTCATTCTGTGAAATTGGTACATATGAAATAGGAATATTTTTCTAGTGTTCACAGTTTTCGAATTTTTATCTGGAGGTGACTCATGTTAAAGTTTAAGTCAGACTGTTGGGAAGCAGTCCTTTCTTTTTTGAAAATTCCTGTTCTGTCAAACAATTCTTTTTTTTTTAAATTATCTTAAAATAAGAATCAATTTTACATGCAATTCTCTTACAATTTACTTGTCCTTTTTAAATCTTATCAGACTGAAAGACTCGCAAATTTAGAGAGGACAAAAACAAGACTGAAAGAAGAAAATTCTGTAAAAGACCAGGAGATTGGCAGCCTGAGAACCCAGTTAAAAGAGCTGTCTCTCCACACTCAGTCAAACCAGGACAAAAGTTCTACAAATGATGTGGTGAGAATAAGTGTATTAAGGGTTGTAAGATTTGACTTCTGTTTATCTTTCTTTACTTTCATATTTTTATGGGGGAAAAAACAAAGTTACTTTAATTATCAGCCATTTTACAGTCTCATATTTTGTCTTTGAAAAGTATTATCAATTTGTTTATAAATATAATATAAATAATTCCTGTCAGACAAATGCTGACTTTTATCATATACTTAGGTTGCTATATATACAATGTATATTATTATAACACCAGCGTGTACATGTTTTCAATAATATCTATATTGTCAACCAATTTAGCATTATAAAGAATAAGACAATGATATCAAAAAATTCACAGCAAATGCAAAATTAGTGGTGTATTCCTATGTTTTTTTTCTGTCTCAATACTCACAAATTGTATAATTAAACCTTCTTTAGTCAAAAAAATGACAAAAAGAATCGCATTTCCATTCCATCTGACTACTTTTCTGTAATTCCTGAAGGTTGTCTCGTAAAAGTAATATGAAAAGAGAACTTGCTTAAAATCCTCTATGTATGTACTTATAACTATTCATGTTTAAGGTTTGCCTTAGGCAAAGCATATTTTTTCTCTGTGAACATTTGAAGAACATTATGAAATAATTAATCAAATCAGAAATGATAAAAAAATAATCGCTGAACTGAATAAAAAAATTTAGGGGCAGAGGGGAGGGAATAGGGAAATTGAAGAAAATGGTTTTATTAGTCAGTTATATTGGATATTTTTTTCTGATTTTACTTTGTAGGTATTTGTTGCTAACACTAAGGAGGATGAAGAAAGACTTAGGAAAGTCGAATCTGAACGGGACAGCAAAGCCAGAGAGCTGGCAACTATGACCTTACAGGGGCAGGCTGACCAAGAAGAAATTTCTAAGTTGAAAACTGACCTTAATATGAAAAAGAGACTGCAAGATGAATATGACAAATTATCTCTTGAAAACTTGGAACTGTCAGATAAACTACGAGCAGTGATAAATGAAAATAAAACATTGAAGGGGGATATGAAGAAAAAGAAAACAGAAGTTACAGATTTGGTGAGCACTGTTGAGGATCTCACGAAAAAGAATAAGGAAAAGGAAGGGGTGCTAAAGCATGCAGGCTACACCATGGTAGAAGGTTCTGTCAAACCTGGGGACAGATGTAAGTCATTTTCTTCCTTTAAAAAGAAAACATAACTAATTAGCTTGTACATTGTATTACTGGTAAAGATTAGCCCGCTTTCTGGACATATTTTGTATTTTTTTGAGAACCCTTTTTTCAATGAATATAACTAAATTCAATTGATAAGCCTTTTAACATATTTATAATTCAAAGAATGAAGACAAATTGTGATAATAATCCAGATCAGTAGTTCTTGGAAAAAAAATCTGTTCGACCGATCTGAAGTTAAGATCGTAAAATATTGACCTACTGTTAAATTGTTCAAAACTCTGCTAATATTTATCATATAATCAATAGCGGATTAAGTAAGTAATAGAAAGAAAAACGAAAATTATTAAAGATTTGCAACATTCTATATCAAAAATAGAACTGTTCAACAGTGAAGACAATAGCATGTAACTTTCAAAAGCATGGAAATGATCTGAGGCTTACTTGAATTTTGTTGGCAGTAAGTGGGATGCATGGCAAGTAAAATAAGTGGCATTATGTAAAGGTTTCACTTTGCTTTTAAACAACATTTATATATAATGAAATTATACTATTTTTAATGAAATTGAATATTATTTACAGTTGATAAGAAAACAGGGGAAGGTAACATTACACCTCTTCAGATTGAACTCCTGTCTAAAGCTTATACATTCTGTAGTTAGGTTCCCAGTCTGTGAATGAAAACCTAACATTCTGAAGCACTTTCTGCATTAGGCATTGAACTGTAATAAAATGCTGTCCAATTAATATAACAAATAGAAAATACTCTTTATTTTAAAAAAGCAAAAATATACAGAGGAGAACGTTTGATATATTCTTTGAAATATGATCAGAAAAAACAAGGAGAAAAACAGTTTTAAAGACGTTTGGTATGTCTTCCAAAGTGCAAGAATGTCATATTTCCTATAATAACTAGGGGAGTTTCTTCTTGGAAATAAGAAAGTTTACAATTTTATCTCACAAGATTTTGGTATCAGCAGTGACTTTCATCATGTTTATTACAATATATATATACTGTTACGTGTGAAGAAACTCAATCTTAGACTTCAGTTCTCTGATAGTTAGTCTTACTGTACATGTCATCAAACTAGATGTGGATATACCTTAAGGAATACTACACCATCTGACATGTAGGTCACATTGACCTAATTTTTCCACTTCACTGCCTTTGGTTAAACTTTGTGTTTGATTCAATTTCTTTGGTTACACTTTGCCTTAATTTTCCATCGATGAAGTGATGGACACAAGAAACATTTCCTGTTTTGTGAAGTTTTAGTTTTAAAACAGTATACATGTAAATGTGTATGTGTTCACTGCTTGCAAATTAAAGATCAAACACTTCTCATAGTTTAACACAGTGGCAAATCATCTGTGCGAAATTGTCAAATCATTTAATCTTGTGACAGTATTTATTGGTGAATGGCAAAATATTTATTTGTTGCATCAGTTCCTTTATCTGCTATTGGTTATGATGAAATATCCATGCATGATTGCTTACAAGTGCTGCATCTCACGAGAAAGGCAGACTTTATTGCAACACCACTTTTAGTACATGTTTAGTTTGCTATATTTCAGCCTGCAAATTTATGTTTCAGACAAAACAAAACATACATTTACAGTATTTTGAATCCGTAGCAAGCTGTAAAGCCTGAATTGTGTGCCAACAAACACATTTTAGTCTATATTTCTCGTCCACAGATTTGGTCATATTACATTCAAACCTGCTATTAAAAGGCCACGTTTATCGTTCCCCACAAAGTGATTTCATTGTGAACTGAACCTGTATGTAATAAATCTGATCATCTGTGTTAAGAGATCAGTTTTTCGACTTCTATAAGGTGGTCTCTTCGTACAGCTTGGACTGTACATATATTATGATAAGAGGATTTTTGTAACAGTTGATAGTGTACATAGTTGATTAATATAATTGTTATGCTTCTTTTCACTTGCATTATTTTACTGTTGGATTCTAAATTTATGTTTTAATTGCTTATTAGTTATCACAAAACAAACAACAAGTAATCAAACTGTGTTATATACCCCTAGATGAAGGTCTAATTTTTGTTTTTGAAACTTGTTGCACATAAGATATCTCAAGGGTTTTTTAAGAATCATATTTATTTCATCATCTATAAACCACTGCTTGGAATTACTCCGAATGAAACATGTAGATATTTAAGCTGTCCAGTCTGTGATTTTAAATTCATTTGATAAAAGATTTAACAGATGTGCATAGCAAACTGTACAAATGAAGTTAAGGGGTTTAGGGTTATGCAAAAAAACAAATCACTGACTCTTTCGGTTTGGCATGTTCCAGGGGAGTTCCCGTCCTTACAGACAATGGGATCTCGAGACGAGGACCAACTACAACGGCAGGGAATGCGTGTGGCCACACCCTCTGAGGTCATGATTCAGATCCAGGATAACAGCAAGGCAGAACAACTCCAACGTCAGCTGTCACAGAAAGAACGACAGGTCATACATGAATTATCTTAATATTTAATAGAATTTCTTAATGCAGAGGGTATCATTGTACCAGTTATAATTGTGAAGATGAGTTTCTTTCAGTGTTTTTACTTGGGACTTTTATATTGAATGTAAAGAAATCAACAGGAGTTTGTTTCCAATTTAAGAGTAATACTTCCCTTGACAAATCATATTCACCTGTCATCTTGATGCTGTGCATTTAGAATTCCTTGACAGCAACGTTGGTCAAGTGTGAGATTTACAGTGTATAGGTCCTGAATTTGACCTCCATCTTTTTTTAGGTTTTGTAGTTTTACCTCGATATTTACTTTTCAAACATTAAAATTTCCATTAACTAAAATGTTTGTAAAATATATCACAAGATGTGATTTAAATGGAATTCTTCTGTAAAAAGAGACTTTACACAAATATAGTAATATTGACAATGATAATGATATCTTTTAACTTGATTGTGTTATATACTTCAACAGGAATAACATTTTATTACATTTTGCCAGTGAGATATCAAACTCTGTTAACTTGATAAAACTAATATTTATTACATTGTGACAGATATCAAAAGTAATACTTGTCACAGTGTGAAAATATTACTTTTGGTAATGACCAATAACACAATGGTTTCCTACTGCTTTTTAAAGCTGCATATTTTCTGGTCAGTTGAGAAGTGTTTTCACTGGAAAAGATGCATATAAATGTCAGGGACGGGCTGTTTAGGGAGTAGCTCTGTTGTAGCAAATGTACAATATTTTTTGTCTTAATCTAGGTTTTCAGAGTTTGTAAAAATGTACTTATTTATATTTATCTAGCAACATGCTCATGCCAGGTAATAAGCCCAAACATATTTCTAACAGTAGTTTAATGGAAGTGTCAGCAAATGTTATTTAGTTGTCCTATAATAAGCCCCCCCCCCCNCCATCCCCGCCTTATTGCTGGATAAATACAGTATTTGAGATTAACACAAAGTGTGAACTTGTAACGTCTTGAATACAACATCTGAGTTTAGTTATTAGTGATTATGTAAACATCATGCAAGCAGTGAACATTATAATAAGTTTATTACGTAACGTTATAAGTCTGTAATAAGTGTATTATGTAACATTATAAGTCTATAACAAGTGTATTATGTAACATTATAAGTCTATAATAGGTGTATTATGTAACATTATAAGTCTATAATAAGTGTATTTTGTAACATTATAAGTCTATAATAAGTGTATTATGTACCATTATAAGTCTATAATGAGTGTATTATGTAACATTATAAGTCTATAATAAATGTATTATGTAACATTATAAGTCTATAACAAGTGTATTATGTAACATTATAAGTCTATAATAAATGTATTATGTAACATTATAAGTCTATAACAAGTGTATTATGTAACATTATAAGTCTATAATAGGTGTATTATGTAACATTATAAGTCTATAATAAGAGTATTATGTAACATTATAAGTCTATAATAAGTTTATTATGTATCATTATAAGTCTGTAATAAGTGTATTATGTAACATTGTAAGTCTATAATAAGTGTATTATGTAACATTATAAGGCTATAATGAGTGTATTATGTAACATTATAAATCTGTAATAAGTGTATTATGTAACATTATAAGTCTATAACAAGTGTATTATGTAACATTATAAGTCTATAATAGGTGTATTATGTAACATTATAAGTCTATAATAAGTGTATTATTTAACATTATAAGTCTATAATAAGTGTATTATGTAACATTATAAGGCTATAATGAGTGTATTATGTAACATTATAAATCTGTAATAAGTGTATTATGTAACATTATAAGTCTATAACAAGTGTATTATGTAACATTATAAGTCTATAATGAGTGTATTATGTATCTTTTTAAGTCTATACTAAGTGTATTATGTAACATTATAAATCTATAATAAGTTTATTATGTAACATTATAAGTCGATAATGAGTGTATTATGTAACATTATAAGTGTATAATAAGTGTATTATGTACCATTATAAGTCTATAATGAGTGTATTATGTAACATTATAAGTCTATAATAAGTGTATTATTTAACATTATAAGTCTATAATAAGTGTATTATGTACCATTATAAGTCTATAATGAGTGTATTATGTAACATTATAAATCTGTAATAAGTGTATTATGTAACATTATAAGTCTATAATAAGAGTATTATGTAACATTATAAGTCTATAATAAGTTTATTATTTAACATTATAAGTCTGTAATAAGTGTATTATGTACCATTATAAATCTATAATAAGTGTATTATGTAACATTATAAGTCTGTAATGAGTGTATTATGTAACATTATAAATCTGTAATAAGTGTATTATGTAACATTATAAGTCTATAACAAGTGTATTATGTAACATTATAAGTCTATAATGAGTGTATTATTTAACATTATAAATCTGTAATAAGTGTATTATGTAACATTATAAGTCTATAACAAGTGTATTATGTAACATTATAAGTCTATAATAAGTTTATTATGTATCATTATAAGTCTGTAATAAGTGTATTATGTAACATTGTAAGTCTATAATAAGTGTATTATGTAACATTATAAGGCTATAATGAGTGTATTATGTAACATTATAAATCTGTAATAAGTGTATTATGTAACATTATAAGTCTATAATGAGTGTATTATGTATCTTTTTAAGTCTATACTAAGTGTATTATGTAACATTATAAGTCTATAATGAGTGTATTATTTAACATTATAAATCTGTAATAAGTGTATTATGTAACATTATAAGTCTATAATGAGTGTATTATTTAACATTATAAATCTGTAATAAGTGTATTATGTAACATTATAAGTCTATAATAAGTTTATTATGTAACATTATAAGTCTATAATAAGTGTATTTTGTAACATTATAAGTCTATAATAAGTGTATTATGTAACATTATAAGTCTATAATAAGTGTATTATGTAACATTATAAATCTGTAATAAGTGTATTATGTAACATTATAAGTCTATAATAAGTTTATTATGTAACATTATGAGTCTATAATAAGTGTATTATGTAACGTTATAAGTCTATAATAAGTGTATTATGTAAACTTTGTGCAGATGGATGAGCTTGTAATGGAACTGCACCAGAAGGATCAGGAGCTGCAGCACCTACGAGACACCAACAGCAAGCAAGTTCAGGTGATTAACTACGTACACTGAAACAGTTACACTAGTCTGGGATTGGTTCATTTTCCTGTTTATAGGCAGATACATTGATTTTGTATACATGTACGTCTTTTGTGGTTTGAGAATTACAAAACAACACAGCCCAGAAAGAACCATGGAGAAGGTTTTAATGTGGTGGGTCGATGGGTGGTACAGTGGATGACGGTCTCGCCTTTCATCAAGGCAGCCAGGGTTTGATTCCCTGATCCTACATTAAAAGGTACAGTGTCACCTGCCTGACCACATGGGTTTTATCCAGGTAGTCCGGTTTCCTCCCACAATCAGACCCCAGTGTGCTAACACCCGGGCAAACAAGAGTGATTAATATATGTTACAATTAATTGTTTCATAATTGTCGTAAAATAAATAAAGTTTATATATTTGATATGATGTGGTAGGAAACCAGAGTACCCGGCAAAAAATACATTTGGCCAAAACCTTTTCATGCCTGATCGGGAGTCAAACCCCTACCGTAATAGCAAGAGGCGAGTGCACTTTCTAACGCACCACCAACCCAACCGAGAATATTATCTACATACCAAAGCATTAAAAGGTTTCTGCGACTTGGTTGTTTTTCTAGTTTTAAATAGATGTACATCATCAATAGTCTTATGAGCAAGGATGGACATGAATGTTTAAAAAGTGATATAGATATTTTCTGTTGTCATCAAACTCAGAAATAGAACATTATTACTATTGATTTCATTTTTGCTGCTTCAGTCACCAACCTACACAGGAGATGTACAGAGTCTGATGTCCCAGAATGTGGCACTGATGACAGAAATCAAAAACACAGGTGTGAAATTGGAATCAGCTAAGCTTGCTGTGAGTAAGAAAACCACCAAGTAAGTATATATACAAAGTCAAACATGGTAGTTTAGCTCAATGTATTTAAAGCATTTAGATATTAAAATCACTACTAAAATCTTGTATTCTTTATGACCTCTTTTGAGAGACCACCATTTTTCAGTATTATAATAAACTTGTGTTAAGAAGCCATTTACAGGTCTATCAGTACAGTAAAATATTAAGGCACCATACTTTCTATCAGTACAGTTAAACCTGTCTTGGGGAAGCATCCTTTCTCTCTGTGTGATAAATTTGGAGCACCCATTCTATTGGAACAATAATATTTGCTATGAAGGACCCTTTCTATTGCTACAGTAGAACCTGTCTTGTGGGACCACCCTTTCTATCAATACAGTAGAACCTGTCTTGTGGGACCATCATTTCTATCAGAACAGTAGAACCTGTCATGGGAGACATCCCTTTCTATCAGAACAGTAGAACCTGTCTTGTAGGACCACCCTTTCTATCAATACAGTAGAACCTGTCTTGTGGGACCATCATTTCTATCAGAACAGTAGAACCTGTCATGAGAGACATCCCTTTATATCAGAACAGCAGAACCTGTCTTGTGGGAACACCCTTTCTAGCAATACAGTAGAACCTGTCTTGTGGGACCACCCTTTCTATCAGAACAGTAGAACCTGTCTTGAGAGACATCCCTTTATATCAGAACAGCAGAACCTGTCTTGTGGGAACACCCTTTCTAGCAATACAGTAGAACCTGTCTTGAGAGACCATCCTTCCTATGAGTACATTAGAACCAGTCTGTGAGACCAACCTTTCTATCAGTATAATTGGAACTGTCTTGAGGGACTACCCTTTCTATCTGTACAGCAGAACCTGTCTTGTGAGACCACCTTTTCTATCAGTACAGTAGAATCTGTCTTGTGAGACCAAATTTCTATCAGTATAATTGGAACTGTCTTGAGGGACTACCCTTTCTATCAGTACAGCAGAACCTGTCTTGTGAGACCACCCTTTCTATCAATACAGTAGAACCTGTCTTGAGGGACTACCCTTTCTATCAGTACAGTAGAACCTGTCTTGAGGGACTACCCTTTCTATCAATACAGAAGAACCTGTCTTGTGAGACCACCCTTTCTATCAGTACAGTAGAACCTGTCTTGAAGGACTACCCTTTCTATCAATACAGAAGAACCTGTCTTGTGAGACCACCCTTTCTATCAATACAGAAGAACCTGTCTTGCGAGACCAACCTTTCTATCAGTATAATTGGAACTGTCTTGAGGGACTACCCTTTCTATCAGTACAGCAGAACCTGTCTTGAGGGACCAACATATTCATCAGTGCAAGAAAACTTATCATGAATAAGCCTTTCTATTTCTACAGTAGAACATAAAATTCTGTACTGTTCTACCTGTAAATGGGTGTCTGGTGTTCAGTTTTCAAGATTATTGGGTGAAGGCATCATATTGTACTACATATATAAACTGAGTCATGAAGTGATGTCATTGGTAGTGATAGAAACATTTCCCCTCAGAATTGCAGAGCTGGAAGAGAGATTGCAGGTCCATGATAACCTGATGTCACAGAGGGATGAGGAACATGCGATAATGGACTCGCTGCGCATGTCTCTCAAGGGATACGAGGAGGCACTGAACGCGGAGCGCAGGGAACACCAGAACACCAAGTAGGTATCAATTCTAACACAGCTGTTTAATAGACTGTTTATGCTGGTTTGGTTAAAGATTTTACTATTTCTAGTTTTAGTTACTACCAACCACTATTGTTGTCTCAACTGGCAGTGTGGCCGCAAAGTGACGATAGTAATGTTTTTTTTTCTAGAGGTACACATTGTCAATTTTCATCCTTAAATGAGATTCTCATTAATGTTAGTTTGAACCCTCTTTTAATAAAAAGCTTGGCACCAAGCAGCAGCAGATCATGTTGGTTAAAGGGGAGATGAATAGAAAAAAGGACAGCTCCTCCATGCAAAAAATGTTTCTTATAATATTACTTGGGACATCCACACCCTTCAAGACAAGGACACCATTCATTGAAAACACTATGCATATGCATTCGTGTTCTTAAGTTAAGCTTATATTCATTTTCAATTTGCAGGAAAAATAAATAATTCTAATGTAATTTCTTACCTTCCTATATGCTGTCAAAACATTTTACATAACTCATTATGGTTTGGGGAGCGTCCATCTGTCCATACTTTGGTTTCTGAAAAATAACTTAAACAAATATTGTTCAGTTTTTATGAAACTTGGTAAGCATATACAATATATGAAGACTGATGCTAAGTTCAAAGTTGAGCAAATTCTGTGTATTACCATGTACTGTTCCCTAATTGGTACATTTCCTATTTGGTTTCCACTGGATACATTTCTTAACTATCATTCATTTTTAGCTCACCTGGTCGGAAGGACCATGGTGAGCTTATGCCATACAGCAGCGTCCGTCGTCCGTCCGTCAACTTTTCCTTCAAAACGCTACTAGTCCTGAATGGCCATGTAGATTTTGACGAAATTTGGTCTGAAGTATCCTTAGGCCAAGGGGACACAATTTTGGAAGTAATTGATAAGAAATCAGAAATATCTTTGGTTTAAATGGTGCAAGACATTAGTTGATTATAAGACATGGAGACAATTTCAATTTTAGGTCACCTGAGACAAAGTCTCAAGTGACCTATTGCGATCCCCTTTTGTCAGGCGTCATCCGTCGTCCGTCCTTAAACAATTTACATTTTCGACTTCTTCTCCAAAACCCCTGAACCAATTTCAATGAAATTTTGCAGAAGCCTTCCATGGCCAAAGATCAACAAAAATAGTGGCCGATTTGGTCCCCAGACCCCAGCTGCCTGAGGGGCGGGGCCAAAAAGGGTCTAATTGACTAAAATTTCAAAAATCTTCTTCTCAAGACCCAGATATGGTAGAATCAAATACTCTTCATAGATGGAAGGGTCTTAAGGTGCTTTACCAAAACATGAATTCCATGACCCTTGGGTCTCACCTTTCCCCCTGGGGAGGGGGTAAACTATACTATAGTTTATATAGGGAAATCACATTTTGGACCAACATTTGTTTAATTTCCATTGGAGGTAATTCAATTTAGGTTAGCATTATCAGTATTAGGTAGCAGTTTGCTGGTATGCACATATGAGCCCTGACTGTCCCCAAGGGGCTGACGGGTGGGGCGAAAAAGGGTTGAATTGACTGAAATTTCAAAAATCTTCTTCTCAAAGACCCAGATATTGTAGAATCAAACACTCTTGATAGATGGAAGGGTCTTTAGGTTTATGACCCTAGGGTCTCACGTTTGCCCCCTGGGGAAGGAGGGGGGGCAAAATTTATCACGGTTTATAATGGCAAATGATACTTTGAATATTACATGTTAATAACTTGATTGGAATTATAACCTTGAGTTGACAGTTTGATGCTTTGAAAATTTAGAGCCAGCCCTACCCCCAAGGGCTGTAGGGTGGGGCCCAAAGGAGTCAGTGTGCTAAAATTTCTTCATTTTCCTTGTTTAGAATCAGAGGTGCTAGTTTCAAATACTTTTTAGTCTTAAATCTGTATGTTAGATATTGAATAAGGTGGTTTTATTGTTTTTTGTCACTTTGAATAATATTTTTGGCCATGTTAAAAACAAAATCAACTCTCTGTAAATATATATCAGGTGACCATTAAGGCCCATGGGCCTCTTGTTTTTTTCCTGGTTTGAAATACGGACAAAGGGAAGCAATTCCTATGCAAATTAATTTTTAGATATACATTCCTTCATGCTTTCTACAGTACGTTTTTACCTTTCACTACGTCACAAGAGAAGTTCTCAACTTTACTGAGTTATATACAGCACACATGTAGTTTAATTCTTCTTCTTTACATAATTTCTGTATTTTTAGCTCACCTGGTCCGAACAGCCAAGTAGGTTTTGACTAAATTTGGTCTGGAGCATCCTTAGGCCAAGGGAACTCAATTTTGTATAAATGGTGGGTGTGAGGGGCGGGGCCGAATAGGGGAAATAGAGGTAAAACCTTTAAAACCCTTCTTCTACCGTAGGGATTAAAGGATTTTATCCTAATTTAGGTTGGAGCATCCTTGGGCCAAGGGGTCTCAATTTTGTATAAGCAGTGGGTGTTGCCCCCCTTGGGGCAGAGGGGCGGGGCCGAATAGGGGAAATAAAGGGAAAACCTTTAAAATCCTTCTCCTACCATAGGGATTAAGGGATTTTATCCTAATTTAGTCTGGAGCATCCTTGGGCCAAGGGGACTTAATTTTGTATAAGCAGCGGGTGTGGCCCCCCTTGGGGCAGAGGGGCGGGGCCGAATAGGGGAAATACAAGTAAAACCTACAAAATCCTTCTCCTACCGTAGGGATTAAGGGATTTTATCCTTATTTAGTCTGGACCATCCTGTGGCAAAACGGACTCAATTTCGTATAAACAGCAAGTGTGGCCCCCTCGGGGGCAGAAGGGAGGGGCTCAATAGGGGAAACATAGCAAATTCTTCAAAATCCTTCTTCTTCTGTAGGAATGACAGGATTTTGTCCAAATTTTGTATGAAGCATCCTTGGGTGAAGGGGAACCAATTTTGTATAAACGGTGTGTCTAACCCCCCTGGAGGCAGAGAGGCTGGCCCAATAGGAGATATAGAGGTAAAACCTTTAAAATCCTTCTTCCACCATCGGGATTAAGGGATTTTTTTTGGAGCATCCTTTGGCCACGAGGACTCAATTTTGTATAAACGGTGGGTATGACCCCCCTAAGGGCATAGGGGTGGGGCTCTGTTTGAAATTTGTTATATCTCAAGTACTGGATGGATCTTTCTGAAATTTCATTTGTACTTACAGCACCTACCATGGAGTGCTATATCTTTACTTCGTACCAATTATTTTAAACATATTCAGGTGAGCGATACAGGCCCTCTGGGCCTCGTGTTTAATATCTTATATATTTTCCAAATTTTCATATAATATACATTGGTATCAATTTACTTTCAGAAAACAGCTGATGGAACTAAAGCAAACGTTTAACAGTCTAACAGCAGACTACAAAAGTATTATTAATAATTTTGAATCCTTCAAGGAAAACAGCATGAAACAGCAGGTATGTAAAATAACCTTTTATAAAAAGCATCAGACACCAGACATCATAAACAGTGTATCATGCGGAGGGGGTCACACTCCCCTGTGGTTCAAAGTGATCTTTTTTCGTATTCCTCTTTGGGTCATATTTTTAGCCCTGGTAATAATAATAATAATTTGAGGTTCTTATATACTGTTTTGTCACAACCTAGTTCGTAGGTCGTCTCAAAGCGGTTTACAAATTATCCGTAGTTATAGGGCCTTTGCAACCAGCCATTATCTTTCTCAACTCCCTGGGTACAGCTGGTGCTGCCATTTCGGCACTCACAGCTAGAATTCAACAATTCTAGCACTGCCCAACCACGTACTCATTTACAGCTGAGTAGAGTGAAACAAGCAGGGTAAAGTATCTTGTTCAAAGATACAACATCGAGCCGTGACATGACTCGAATTTCATGAATACAGACTTTGGACTTGACAGTATTTTGATTGTTTGTCCCATGGGTAAGCTATAACATCACATTCCAGAAGCTGTTTGTTGACCCTTGTGAGAAGCAAAAATTACTTGAAAGGATCAGTAAGCTTACAGCAGAAATGATGTCTGGGGAAGAAGCAGGAAAATACCGGGATGAACAGTTAAAGAAGTTGAAAGAGGAAATAGAACATCTGAAATCAGAAAATGAAACCATTCCAGTGCTGCGTGCACAGGTAAGTTATTGAATACTTTTTACCCAGTAAACACTGTATATCAGGAAATTTTCGCCCAGTCAGACTTCCGCTCTTCGCCCTTCATCCATGAAATCAATTTTCGCCCAGTGTTAATTTAGCCCTTTACATTTAATTACTATGTTTATTATGCTGTTAATTATATTCTGATGTCCAATACGCATCAGTTCCTACTATGACTTCAGTTCACTTGGCGCAATACCAGAAACATTTTTTTTTAGCCTTTGCCTGATTTCGAACTTTTTCAGAATTTCAGTGTGGTTCAAACTTTTCCTATAGAAAGGATTAAAAAATCTAACCGTCTGCCTTTCTGCCCATAAACCCATTTTCATCGCTGTTATACACAGTATAAACACAAGTTAATATATCAAACCAGTGTAGCTGGTCCTCTGAAAGCTATGAGGTTAAAATTGAGATGGAAGGTCAAATTAATTACAATGTATGGAATTCAGAAGATATCTGTTTTTAATTTGAAAATATTACTGAGCAGGCTGAAGTCTGGAAAATGGACTTTGACGCTGAGAGGAATTCCAGAGAACGGCAGCATGCAGATAATCAGCAGTTGCAACAGGAGTTTCACAACCTACAGCTTCAGAATCAACAACTCCTGGACGAGCTGGAGACACTGTCCAAAGGGCAATTTGCTGAGATGCAACGAAAACACGGTGGAGCAGGGTCTCATCAGCAGATGATGCAGAACTACCTCCAGGTGGCGGGCCCATCGACCCCTGTCATTCACAGACCCCCAATGCAGTACCCCTACCAGGACAACATAAATGTGACGCCCCCGGCACCCCATACACCCCATACACCACAGGTAAACAGAATAAACAGGTTCCTAGGTACTGATTGTCATTCACTTGCCCCCAAAATACTACACACAGAGTAGGGGCATCAATAGTTTTAAGTGTGTAATTCTCAGTTTGAGGCCTTGAGTTGTCTCCATGTATTTTATTGTATATCTGAAGCTGAGTTCACACTTGAATGACCTGATTAAACTTGTTTATCATAAGTATTGCTTAGTTCTCATTGGCTCCAGTAACTGGAGTTAGCAGAGCATCCCACCTAACCATGATTTATGATAAAAGCTTGCTGATCAAAATAATGCTGGTCAGATTCATAATTTTATACGGAATGCATTTCTAATTAATGTGCATCTGACAATACCTGGTAAAATTGTTATGTATATGCATCAGTGTAAAATGTAATATCTTCTTTTGTCAATTTATGCATTATATACATATACTTGTATTATATATACCTATATGTACATTATATATATATAGGCTTGTATTACAACCCTCCGAAAATTCTTAAATGTATAAGCATTTGTCACAACTTTCCAAAAATTCTTTTTGCTTTGAAATGGATTTATATGAGAAGTATTCTTTCTCTTTAAGAGCTTTTTATGCTTACTCAGTGTGCTTCAAGTTCATCTTTTTTTATTTAAATTCATTAATTGCCAGATTTGCTTATTTATAAATGCTGTAGCATGACAAACCAATTTCAGTAGCTCTGTATAAGTATAGCAAATCAATAGGAAATCAAATGGATAATGCAGGTAAATAAGTGTCTGTAGGTTATCTGCACTCTGTGGGTTATTATGTAAATGGATAACCCATTGTTTGAGAAGCTGTGTGGGTTATCATATTTACGATTTTGTTTTCAGCCGTCAGCCCACCCATATGTTAACTACCCCTACCCCCCACAGCAATATCCTGGTGGGGTGGAGGCGGGCCATGGACAGGTAAATCTCGTCAAGCATGCACATCATACCTGCATTGTGTTGGTCATCGCTGTTGTTATTTTATTTCTAAATCATTTTGTAGCATCTCAAGTAGTCCCAGATCACTGGAGCATGTGAATCCATCTGGGTTATCTCCCCCTATTTTGTTTTAGTCTTCCTCATTGCTATGGTCATCATTTAGTTTATTATCATGCTTTTCACAAGTATACGCCAGTGGTGGATTTAGAGGGAAACCTGTGACCCCTTCAATGACCATGACCTAAGACAAACATTTCTTTTGATTACCTGTCACTATAAGTGCCTGTGAGATTTCATGGAGCAGTATCCTTCTGTCTTCTGTCTGTCGCCCATCACATTTTCTTGAAATAAATTCTTTTTAAGTCAATTAAGGCCTGCAGTCAATTATTCTTTAAACAAAATTAAATTGTACACAAACAATGAAATTTGACTAGTAGCTTGCTTTGGTAGTTTAATAGCTCTATGAAATATGTGAGAATAAATATTCTTGAACCACATTCAAGTTCTTGGGTAACAAATACATATACATCTATGTTAAATCTTTATGCTACCTCTTCTAATAAGAAACAAAGTCCTTCACTTTGCTGGAGTGCAAAGTTGTCCAAATTACCTTGCCCTATATTAAAGGTAGCAGAGGCTAATGTTTCGTAAAATTCAAACCATCTCGAAGAAATGTTATCTTTGGCGTATAGATCGCAGAATGGCATGTAGATTGCAAAAGTGAAGGGCTCTTGATTGGCTGAGATTAAGTAATCATTTCAGCATTAAATATATATTCCACCAATATCAAATAACAGGTGAACATTGCAGGTCCATTTAGCATTTTGCTTTCATGTAACATGATGTTCGAGTCCCTTCCTTTAAGTTGCTGGATCCACCACTGGCTATCACTAGCTGCCAGATCACTCACATTGAAGAAGGAAACATTTTTCAAGTGTGTGCGTGTGTGTGTGTGTGTGTGAATTATTATTATTGTCAAATGTCACATGAATATTCACTTGTAAATATCATATATGTAAATGGGGGTAATAATGTTTATTATCAGTGAGAACATATATGTGTTGATGAAAAAGTCATCTGCAGATTTGAAGTGTAATGTTTTGATTTTAACTTGTCCGCCGAAAATACTCACCTGTCACAAGTTGAGAAAAAATTTTTTTACCAAGAGTTAATTACTTTGAAATCAGATATTTTTGTGGTGCTCAAATTTTATGGTTCCTGAAAAAAAGCCTTTTAGGGTGCTTGAATTTGTGGATTACATGTACCCAATCATAAGGAGGGTAGCTTTATGTCTAGTTCTAGTTAACAAGATATCACATTAATTTGGAATGAAGAATTGATCGTGATGAAGATCCTGATGTCAAAAATGTCACAAATACAAATCCACAAATAGTATCCATTCGAGTCCCTTTGAACAAGAGATTGACATGTTATTGATTATTTGACACATCAAAATCATTATGAATTAAATAGTTTAACAAAAACCTATAGCTGACCTTGTACACTCTCTGTTTACAGCCAGCGTCGCGGGGCAGTGGAAGTTACCCCGAGGAGGGAGAATACCAGCCTCTGTGTTGTCCGAAGTGTAACCTGTCATGTCCTGATGTCGATACCCTACAGATACACGTCCTGGACTGTATCGATCACTAAAGACACAGAAGTAACGCAATCGTGATGGCTGAGTGAGATATCTGAAACTTTTTATGATGGTTCAGTATTCTGAAGACTTACCAAAACAGTTTTAATTCACAGGATTACACCTTTTGCTGTATTATGCTTTTAATATATGTTGAGCTGCTATGGTCATTCTTTGAATTAACTACACATTTTTTGCGGTATCTATATTGTTTGTTGACTTTTCATGTATAGTACAATGTATTATAATTAACACAAGGATGATTAAAGTGACTTAACTTTTTGATGATCAGAATCTTTCATCAATTTTGCACATCTTATAGAAAATATCAAATGTAATTCTTTGTTTGCATCAGGAAGACAATTTTTTTTTTGCTTTTTATTTTGTGACATTTTGGATGTAAAGCAATATTAAGTTCTGATAATGTGAGATTAAGAGATAACTTCATAATTATCACACATTTGTTAATATTGATTATTGTAGATATATGAGACTCATTTTAATATAGGGCCACTTTAGAATTGATGGATTTCATTTCAAAAAGTGTTAACCACTATTGGACCATTACATTTACCTGGTAGTTTGTTAATTTCTGACTTAGTTATCTGATGTTGTTTCTGCTGAGCTTTGATAAAGACTGTTTTCAAGGCCTGCTTTAACACCTAAAGGTCCTGCAGACTTCATCAAGGAAGGAAAAATCAAATGTCACATTTAAAAGAAGAAGAAAATCAGTATATTTGCATAAACAAACAGACTTCATTTCTGATCTGTATCCAAGACTAGTACAATGTATCTGTATAGAGAAAAGGGAATTTCTTGTTGTTTTTATCTTTGTAAGTTGTGGTAATTCAGGTAACACATTAAACTTGAACATTGGAAACTTTGACAAGTACAGTAAAATTAACTTTGTTACTTTTCCAATATTTCTCAAGTAAAAAAAATTGGTATTTGGCATTATATTGAAGGTGTTAAAAAGGAATATTCAGAAAAAGTGTACATTGGAAGGATGTTTTAAATCATGATTGTAAACAAGAAAAGGGTGCTGTAACACGGAGGTTTCACGATAGTAGTAATAGAAACAGCTGAATCTATGCACATACTTTTTACAGTGAACAACATTGGAAAAAAGGCCTCCTGTTCTGTTTGATAATTCAAGATTGTTTTTTTCTGAAATAGAATAATTCTGAAATTTGTCAGCCCAACGATGGCAATTCCTTTTAGTAACATTCGGAAATTCATACACATGGTCAGAGTTTACTAGCTGGTATGTACAGAACGATTGAGACAATTCCAAACACCACATGGTCAGGCGATTCCTGAATCACTGTGTGGTATGGTGATTCCTGGATCACTGTGTGGTATGGCGATTCCTGGATCACTGTGTGGTATGGTGATTCCAGGATCACTGTGTGGTATGGTGATTCCTGGATCACTGTGTGGTATGATGATTCCTGAATCACTGTGTGTTATGGTAATTCCTGAATCACTGTGTGGTATGGTGATTCCTGGAGCACTGTGTGGTATGGTGATTCCTGGATCACTCTGTGGTATGGCGATTCCTGGATCACTGTGTGGTATGGTGTAATTCCTGGATCACTGTGTAGTATGATGATTCCTGTATCACTGTGTGTTATGGTGTAATTCCTGAATCACTGTGTGGTATGGTGATTCCTGGATCACTGTGTGGTAGATGGTGATTCCTGAATCACTGTGTGGTATATGTGTTATGGTAATTCCTGAATCACTGTGTGGTATGGTGATTCCTGAATCACTGTGTGTTATGGTAATTCCTGAATCACTGTGTGGTATGGTGATTCCTGAATCACTGTGTGTTATGGTAATTCCTGAATCACTGTGTGGTATGGTGATTCCTGAATCACTGTGTGGTATGGTGATTCCTGGATCACCGTGTGGTATGGTGTAATTCCTGAATCACTGTGTGGTATGGTGATTCCTGAATCACTGTGTGTTATGGTAATTCCTGAATCACTGTGTGGTATGGTGATTCCTGGATCCCTGTGTGGTATGGTGATTCCTGGATCACTGTGGTATGGTGATTCCTGGATCACTGTGTGGGATGGTGTAATTCCTGTATCACTGTGTGGTATGGTGATTCCTGGATCACCGTGTGGTATGGTGTAATTCCTGAATCACTGTGTGGTATGGTGATTCCTGGATCCCTGTGTGGTATGGTGATTCCTGGATCACTGTGTGGTAGATGGTGATTCCTGAATCACTGTGTGGTATATGGTGGTTCCTGGATCACTGTGGTATATGATGATTCCTGGATCACTGTGTGGTATATGGTGATTCCTGGATCACTGCGGTATATGATGATTCCTGGATCACTGTGTGGTATATGGTGATTCCTGAATCACTGTGTGGTATATGGTGGTTCCTGGATCACTGTGGTATATGATGATTCCTGGATCACTGTGTGGTATATGGTGATTCCTGAATCACTGTGTGGTATATGGTGATTCCTGGATTACTGTGGTATATGATGATTCCTGGATCACTGTGTGGTATATGGTGATTCCTGAATCACTGTGTGGTATATGTGTTATGGTAATTCCTGAATCACTGTGTGGTATGGTGATTCCTGAATCACTGTGTGGTATGGTGTAATTCCTGTATCACTGTGTGGTATGGTGATTCCTGGATAACTGTGTGGTATGGTGTAATTCCTGGATCACTGTGTGGTATATGGTGATTCCTGGATCACTGTGGGGTATGGTGATTCCTGGATCACTGTGTGGTATATGGTGATTCCTGAATCACTGTGTGGTATATGGTGATTCCTGGATCACTGTGGTATATGATGATTCCTGGATCACTGTGTGGTATATGGTGATTCCTGGATCACTGTGTGGTATATGGTGATTCCTGGATCACTGTGTGGTATGGTGATTCCCATCAGATTTTTTTTTACTATTTTTAAATTTAGGCATTTTGTGCATAGGAAGTGATAAGGATCCAATCATTCCCGTTTGATAATTACTAAGCTCAAGCATGATCCATCTATTAACAGTACTTAGACTTACTGGTTTTAAAACAATTGCATTAATTGACCGCAGATATCTAATATATTTTCCCTTGCAAAAAATAGTGTTATGTGAAGGTAAGCTTTCTTTAGAAATTTAATGGATTTATTTACTCATTTGTTTGTAATTAGTGTTTACTTTCTTTTTAACTGGCCTCATCCTGTCAGTTATTAATGTAGTATGTTTTTTTGGTTTTTTTTAAAAAGAATTTCTTTACGTTTGAATGCAAGTTAAATTAAGTATGATTGGTTGAAAATAAGTTGGTCCAATAATTGGAAAACCAATGCAACTTTTACCACAGGTATCCTGCGATACATGTTTATATTTCAGCAAATAGTCACACAGATCACATCACAGAAGATGTGTTATAGCTGTCCTCAGATATAGCCGCACCTTGCTTTAATCAGAGATGCCTTTGTTAGGATTGTAATTCAACTCTTATTGGATCTTGTGATAGTCTGTTTATTGAAATGTGGTGTGACAAATATTAACTACGTAACAAAAATTAGTGTCATATTGTGCTGGTGTTTGTTTAGCGCATGCATCATGTTAATTTTAAATGTTTGAGGGTCTGTGCCATATTTAGTAAAACTATATGTAAAGGGTAACACCACCCCCAACTACATTGGTGATGAAAATGAGATCATGGACATAAAGGCTGAAAATCAGTTGTTTTCGTTCTTTCAAGGAGAAAAACTTAAAATTTACAACTTGACAAATTTCTGGAAAAGACTGAAAATTCTACATACCATCCATTTAATTTCTGTGTCACAGATAATATGGTTGATATGGTTTTGTGTACAGATTATGACAATCTTATTTGACCCAGGGCTTGTATTTAAATGTGAATAGCTTGTAGATAGATCTTGCCTCTCAGGGTTTATATAGGTCATGTATAAAAATAACTCTGTATTGGTATCAAGAATAAATTTACACCAAAATGATACTTTATCTTCGGAGTCCTGATATGGCTACAGTTCTTCAAATGACATCTGAGATGTAATGGACTCATGTGTATTTCATAACCCAACAGACATGCTAAACATACAAACAGATTCATAACTTTATCAAAAATTTGTGAATGTGATTTTTGCATTGAGAGACGTACAGTAAAGGTAGAAATTATCACTGGGATTATAGTTTGTTACATATGGCACTCATGGAATCAACCTTTGATTTGTAAGGCAACAATTCAAAACATAATTGAATATCAATTTATCTTACGTTGTACTTACTTGTTTTCTAAAACCATGAAGTAAACAAACAAAAAATAGTCATCAATGACAATTTCTGACTTTATAACTATGTTTTCTACTGTTTATCAGGTGTATGTGTATAATGTATATAACATGGCCAGCAACCAATCTTATTCTAACTAAATGCTGGTCATGTTACGAAGAGTACATTATCGCTACAGTGGTTGTGTACAAATAGTTTTATACCAAAACATCAATATCATAATCACATACATGTCTAATGGAGTTTTTAAATTAAATCAGAAAAGAATGAAATGTCTGTGATAATATATTCTATGTAAAGTACTTTATGCATTGTCTTAACCCTTTCACCCCTAGGTAACTCGAGTAGACTCGACCATACATTCATCTCGATGAGTACATACCAGGTAATGGTCTACAGTGGTGAAAGGGTTAATCGATGTGGATACAAACATAAGTGATAATTACGTACATATAGACACATACAAATGTATTGATGATGCTAGCATGGTATTATACCAGCTATACATCTTGCGGGGCATAGTTGGGCTTAATTTGATGTGAAGGCAAACTTTCAGGTGAGGGGTCTGGGGACTGCGTAGGCCTTCAGCGTGTCCAATTCGGAGCCATGATAATATAAGGGGCTCCAGAGGCAATCCCCCTCCTCCACCTGAAAGAAAATGATTATGAGGATTCTAAATACTGATAGACACCAGAATGATGTAGATGATAACTTCAACATCAATTGAGAACTTTAAGCACTCTCCGTAAATGAGGTACAATAACATATATGTATTTCTAGCTAAATTCTGATCTTTTAGCATATACTTTCAATTGTCTGTTGAAGAATGTTAACATGTGTTAAAATGTAGTCTGGTACAGTAAATGCAGTTAATTAAACTGAAAATATCCCTTTGGAAGATTTTTTTTTTAAGTGAGAAATCATTATGTGGGCAAACACATACAACATTATGTTGACCAGCCTTACCATTTGATGATGGTTTACCAGTTAGTTATTGTCAATTACATAAACATGTATGTGATTCAGTACTTATATTGCATTGTTTCCTATTTGCACAAAGTGCTCAGACAATTGTTGTGAAGTATCTTTCCAAATTGTGTAAATACAATTGTATCTGTTATCTTGGTAATAAAAATTAATTAATTTTTAACCTGGATTTTTGAGTAATTTATGCATTGTTGTCAACCTATATGCATCTCATTCCAGGTCCAGAAATCAGGATAAATATAGATGTCAATATCAACTAGTTTCAGAATATAAGTATGCAAATGTAATGGAACTAGACAGAATCCTAAATTTTAAAAACCTAAATATGATGTGACTATCAATCTTACATGTTAAGTAATGGTATGTGATTATTGGTGAAATTGCAACACTTTTACTACTTTTATGATTAATTTATGGGAATGCAGAACTCAAATGAAGCTGATATCTAGTAACATTTAGTGTGTTCCACATGTTCTCCAATAAAGGTTTGTTATTCTATAAAAGGCAACTTTTAAATCACTTGCAGGTGTATGCTAT